ATAAACTGTATGACTTCGTCAGCATTTAATTTAAAGCTTTGTTACGTACGTTTAAAGGATATCTTGAGTCGTGAGTATTGACTATTTTAATGCCAAGTCAAAGCTAAGACTCAAAGTTTTGAATAGGCTATTAAAATATAGTAGAAAATAAAGTGGGTCAATTATTTCTTGGTTGGGGTCGGACTGAGACAGTTTTTAGGCCAAATCTAATTATTCGAGTTGTAAAAAAATTTTAACCCAAACAATCTTTATTAAATATCAAACCCAATGTAACCCAACCACAATTTTTTTTAGGTTGGGTTGATTCAGGTTGTTTTAGTTCGTTAAAATTTACAACACAAATTTCAATATATATTTTCAAAAATTATCTTCTAAATAATTAAAATTTATTTTCAAAATAAAATAAAAATATGCATATATAATTGTATAGACTTATTTTAAAATTAAAAATTTAAGTTTGTTACCAATATAATTGAGGGTAACTCTAAACCAACTTAGTTCATAAAATTTTCATTTATTTGGACTCAACCCAAACCATATAAGATGAACGGATCGTGAGATCCCACATTAGTTGTAGAGGAAAACGAAGCATTCCTTATAAAGATGTGGAAATTTCTCCGTAGCAAACGCGTTTTAAAAATCGTGAGGCTGACAGCAGTACGTAACGAGCCAAAATGAACGCTCAACTCCCAAGAGGGTGGATTGGGAGATCTCACATGGGTTGGAGAGGAGAATGAAACAGGATGTGGAAACCTCTTCTTAGTATACGCGTTTTAAAAATCATGAGGCTCACAACGACACGTATCGTGTCAAAGTAGACAATATCTAATAGCGATAGAATTGGATTGTTACACGAATTAATTGAGGTTTTCAAGCGATCGATTTTTTTAACACTCCCTACAAGATGTCTTATATTCATACATTTCTCTTAACAAAGAAAAGATCCATTTATAAAATCACAACAAATAAATTACAAGATATCGTATATTCATACATTTCTCTTAAGAATAATGATGAATGTCATTAGAAAAATATAAATAAATGAATTAAATTACACCAAAAAAAAAAACAAATTAAAAGAAATCAAAACCCAAGAATATATAATTTTGTTGAATTAATTTGTGTTCAAGGCCACGCCAGAAGGAATCAGTAGATGATCTGGATATGCATCTGCCGGTGGCGCCATGAATTTTCCGGCAAAGGCCCTTTCCCCGAGCGGTACTGGAATAGTGGTGCCGCCATCTTTGCCGGAAGGAGGAACCGGCGCCCTCTGCAGCGACTGTTGAAGCACCATCGACCATTTTTGTTGATCAACTTTCATTATTCTGCAACTTTGGAGCTGATGAACGTTGGCAAGAACAAGAAAAATGGCTAAAATGAAAGCGAATTGGATCTTCATTTTGAGAAGAAAGAGGAGGGTTTTGAGGTGATGGTTAATGGAGATTGTTGAAAATGATGGTGATATTTGAGGGAGTTGGTGGGTATATTTATAGGCCATTTGATTCACTTTCATACGTGTTCTTCAAACTCTTTGAATAATTGAATAATTGAGTGTTTAGGCATTGACAAGATGAACAAGTAGGAATTTTGATCAAGTCAAAGTCGGGGAAAGTGAGGGCTAACTTTCTTGAGAACAACAAGTCTTTTGATTACCTAATTTTCCTCGTACCTTCTTCTTAGATTGAGTCTTAAAACACACCATTTGAATAGGTAGTTGCTCCCTTTCTTTCTATTTGGGTGGCTCGAAGTCAGTCGGATAATACATTTTATGACGGTTCTAGGTCGGCTTTTCTGGCTTGTATTTGATATGCTTGGACCCTGTCCTACTATTTTCAACTCTTTAGAGATAAGTTTCGCCTTTCTCACTCATTTAAATTATTTAGAGTTAAGTTTTAATTATTTTAGACAAAATTCAGTGAGTCAATTTGCATAGTATAATTCTAAGTTGTGATTGTGGGAGTTTTAGGTAGAATTAAATTTCAAGGAGCAATTAGGATCAAGGGAGTAGTGACTTTAGCCTAGGCCAACCAAGTAAGTCACTTTGTTATCGGCTTGGTTCGAGAACTTGCATTATTTATGATTACATGTGTCCCGTGACACTTGCATGTGTCATAATATGTCATGTTATGTTATTAAAATGAGTTAATTGTCTACTTTGGCCACGTAAAAATGGCATGTTTTGATAGTTAAGATTTAGGACTTAGAGATGCTCGTTGAATGTTATTGTGATGTGTATGCTTCTATGATCCATTAGAAAAGTAACTTAACGAGTATTTTTAATATTCAATCTTTTCAAATTTTTCTGTTTCAAGTAATGATAAAGACATACCAGGCGAGTGATGAAAAGGACATGCAAATTGAGTCATCGACAGAATATTTGGAAATCGAACAAAAAGGTTGTGAGCTTCTGAGATTCGTGATTGAGCTCTACTAGATCGATCGTGTTTTGAGTTTTTATTTAATAGTTAAAAAAAAGGACAATTATGTCGTTTAAATAGTTTTGTTGAAAATGATATTTGACCAATGGGACGACATTAGGAACTATGTTTAGGAGAAATTTTTTTAATGGGTTTGAATAAGTAGGTGTTGTTCATTGACACTGAAATTAAATCATGCGATTTTACTGTTCAAGTATGAATTTTCAAACCCTACAACCTTTTTCTTATTATTATTCAATTCTATTATTTCTATTATTGCCTATCACAAATTAGTGTTTTTGCATGAGTTCAAACTTATCTTTTAAGATTAAATTATACAAAATACCTCTAAAAATTCCCGATAAGCTTACTCGAGATGAGGAATGTTCGAAAAATCTGATGACTCGAAAAATCAAACTAACTCAACTAAAAAAAAAACAATACGTATGGTTTGAGTTGAGTTATGAATTTATTTAGATTGGATTGGATTGGGTCAAATAAACGAACAGGCTGATTCGTGGGTTTTAGATTGGTTGAACGTGAATCGACCTGAATTTATTGTTAATTTTAAAAAAATATATACTTTTGTTTATGTTACAATTATACCTATAACTATTTTATTTTTATTATTTATTATCGGACTACAATTTGGAATGTAATTTTTCAAAATATATATTCAAATTAAGTCGTAAATTTTAATTAAATATTTAAATATAAAAATGAATAAAGTACTGGAACAACCCGAAACAATTCAACCCAAAAAAAAGTTATGGTCGGGTTGATTAGGTTCATTACTTAATAAGGGATTGATTGAGTTGAAAATGTATGACTCGAATAGTCAGGTTAAGTTTAAAAATGTCTCGTATTGATCCAACCCGATCCAATCCACCTGATTTGACCTGACCCAATTCAATCCACGAAGACCTCTACTCGAGACCTTTTTTTTTTTTTTTTTTAATGACTAACCATCAAAGTGACTAATTTTAAGGTTGGTTGACAATATTGGAGCCAAATTTGAAGGCTAAAGGTCTCATGGAAAGTGAGATGATACTTCTAATTGTGAGAAGACTTCCCCTCGTGAAACGGCAGCTTGAATGGAATTCTATAACCAACTTGGACTGTTGACATTGCACGAAACCAAGGCAAAATCAAGAGCTTTTGATTGAATAAGAGAGGTCCAAAAGTATATGTTTACTTTGAAACTTGTAAGTAGAGGCTTTTGGACGCAACCAAAATTGTATAACTTATCAATTCAAACGCCATCTTAACAAATAGTTCCAAAAACACGAGTTTCAAATGCTTATGAATTCCAATCAAACCTTAGGAATAATAAGTTTTTGATTTTCGGCCAAATTTGAATGCGTTTAATTCTTTCCACGATTATTGAAATTGAATGGAAATAGTTTGGTTGAATTGTTAGATTAAAATTCTTTTAACTTTGATGAACGAACCAAGTTGAATCTGAGTTATGTACAAAAAGATATGAAGATAAGGAAAAACACAAAAACTGGAATCGTTTCTAAAAAAGATCATGAATTCTTGGAAGCGCATCGATACATAGACTTCTCGAAGCACACCATGGGCCGTCTAGTGAATGTGTCTGACCAGCCAAGTGCACATGTATTCCGCCTTCCCGGCACGTGACTGGCATGGTGAGTTCCAATTTTCGGCTTCCGTTCAATGGTTTTTTGCCTCTATTTCAACACGGATGTTACTTTTGTATAATACAGGAGATTCCATAAAAATATTTCATAAATTTTGGGCTCCTAACACGTAAAAAAGCTAGCTCGAGAAGACGAGTGTCATCCAAGTAACCACACGAATTCTAGGAAGTAATACTAGTAGGAATCACTAGAACGTTCTAGCATGCGAGAGTCCTTACCTTAAGTGATTAGAAAATGCATGTTAAGGACTTTGGAGGGGCATTTTTGGATGAGTGTGTACTGTATGTATGTTATGGTAAAATTACCATTATACCCCTATGTTGAGATTTTCGAGAACCCTGATGTTTTATCTATTATGCGGGCTATAAAAAGAATATGCATGATGTAAGAAATTATAAAAATGCCCCTATGATGAGATTTGTGATAAATATTGTCTTACAATCGGAGTTCAGTTCGGTTTGATATTAATTGCAAGCGTTTAGTACTTTAAAAGGGAAATCAATTCTTTACCAAACTAAAACAAAGAATTAAAACATATTATGGATCCAACAATGGTTAACATTCATATAATTAACCAAATTATTGATAAATCTAAAGGTGAAGAGTGATATAAAATGTATGTATCTATCTTGATTCTTTGTTTTTTTGTTTCTTGGAATGTGTGTAGGTACCATTTAATAAGGAATAATAACATCTGCCAGTCCTTCCCTCTTGAATTGGCAAAAAGGAACTTCACTGCCATGCTTAACTTTCCTAATTGTGTTGGCTAAGTAATATCCAAATATGGCTCCACACATCTCCTTGTTAGTACACCTGATACCTCATAAAACCCTTTCTTTTCTTTCCTTCTCTTCTTAAACCCCTTCTCCTTTCATATACATTGTTCTAATTTTCAGGATTTTGAAGAAAAGTTCGAGCCATGGAGGGTGGGAAGATTATTGCGAACGATCAAGAACAAGAACAGGAACAAGAACGACGATGGAGTTTCGTCGTAAAAGACGAAACTTTTTCGTGCAATCAATTTCAATGGCCTGCAAAGAATTATTCTTGTAATTTTTGCAAGAGGGAATTCAAGTCAGCTCAAGCTCTTGGTGGGCATATGAATGTTCATAGAAGGGATAGGGCAAGAATGAGGCTTTTGCCTTCATGGATGGCTGATAATTCTTACCCTAACCCTAATTCTTGCTTCACTTTCAAATTGAATTCCAACAACTCTTTGTGTTCCAATACTCAAGAAGAGAAGAAAGCTTTTGGGAGTTGTTCATGGAACAATTACAAGCCCTCATTCAGCTCTCAAGATGATCATGATGATGTTCTTCATGTTTTGAAGAAGAAAAAGAAGAAAAATTTAGTGAATTTAGAGCTCAAAATGGGGAATTTGGAAGATGATTCTTCAAATGAAGATCTTGATTTGGAGCTTCATCTTTGATTTGTGTTTCTATCTATAAACCCTTTTCTTTTGTTTATGAGTGTTTGATTTTATTTTATGGGAACTTCCACTGTTATTCAGCTGTCACCTGTGTTTTATTTTGACTCTAAAATGGAAAATATTGTGAAGTGTTTTCACTTTCATTTCCTCTCCTTGTTTCTCATAAAATAAACAAAGGGTTTCTTTTTTCATCTTCTTATCATATCATTTAACATGAATTTGCATGAGACAGCTTCAATTTTTTTTCATTTTTCTCTACTTTTTTTTCGTAATGTAATGATCAGTCATGATTCATTCTTTTAAGATATTCGAAAGTCTCTGTCGTGTTTCATAACTGTTCTTGCTCGAGTTTCAAAGAATCCATTGCAATGATTCGTTTATTTCTTGATAAACGTCTGAATTCATATCCATATTCCTAAAACAAATAATAAGATTGTTTAAATTTGATTTTTTGTTTTAGTTTTCAAAACTTCGCTTAAATTTTGAAAATCAGTTTAATTTTCAAAAGCCAAATAACTATCAGATCAAGAACTCAACTCAAGTATAAGAGAGAAAGCTAGAGAAGAGTACACATTTGAGTTTAAAGAGAGTATCTTTTTTGATTGTTCTCTAGCAAATGCAACTCAAAGTATTTTCTTTTCATGGACAAAAGTAATATCAATGAGAGTGAGAAGTGCATAATTTTCTGTGTCTCTCTCAACTTCAGTTTTTCTTCCCATTTTTGTGGGTTAAAGAGAAAGGCTTTCTATGCTTTAATCTTTTCATAAGACACTTTGAAACTCCATCCGGTGGTTCTCGGGCGTATGAATTAACAAGTTGTAATATGTATTGTAATATGTATTGTAACAGTTAGAACTCACCGTTAGCACATATTATCTGCTTTGGCTCGTTATGTATCACCGACAGTCTCACAATTTAAAACATGTCTACTATGGAGAGGGTCTAGCCCTACTCTGACCAGTGTCACGCGTCTAAATGTGGAGGTGTAGCACAAATGGTATCACAATCAGACACCAGGCGGTGTGCCAGCAAGGACGTTGGGCTCCCAAGAAGGATGGATTGTGATATCTCACATTGGTTAGAGGGGGAACGAAACATTTCTTATAAGGGTGTGGAAACTTATCCGTAGTAGACACCTTGAGAGGAAGCCCTTAAAGAGAAAACCTAAGGAGAACAATATCTGTTAGCAGTGGGTTTGGGCAGTTACATGTATCGACCGAGTATAGTAGTCGAACTATAAGCTCTTATAATTCTGCTTTTGGTTTCACCCACAAAGCTTCAAAAACGTAGATTTCAAGATATTCAAGATCGAGATCACTTGAAACTACAAAATTTATCTGATCACAATGAAATGAGTTTAGTAAAAGTATGGATTATGAAGCATTTGAGGTAGAGGTGAGACAAAAGAAAATTAATGCATTCACATGATCATAAGTGGTGAAAATGAAACCAAAAGGAAGAAAAAGAAACACAATTTCCCATCCCCTTCCATTTAAAATGGGGCTTGATGTTGCCTCATTAGTAGCCTGTGGGGGACAATTATCATCCCTGGTTGAAGGACAAATTGAGTCAGCCATTAGTTTAGTTTTGGAAAACAAGAAGAAAAAGAAATAAAAACCTTTTAACTTTGTATGTTTTTCTTTTCAAAATCTCAGACTTTTAGTTTGGAAGAAGTTATGATCATCAAATAGTCCCAAGAAAAATATATAATCATATCGATGTGGTCAAGTTTAAGATCTCATATAGTACATAAATTGAAAAAAAATCAATGGTGTGAGAGAGGTAGCTACAAGAAAAACACTCCGGAAAATTATAAGTTCGGTTCTTGAACTCTTATGATTGTGTCGATAGATTCGTAAGCTTTAAAAGTTCATGTCGAGTATTTGGGTCAAGATTCAGAATTTGGATTTAACACCTGATTGCCCCGATATTCCTCTCCATCTCCTGCGATATAATCACATTACTTACTCTCTCGCTTCTAAGAGTGAAGACTATCCCCACAAACGAATACGAGTCATTTCAAGATACTTTGTCCTCAACAATAAATAGCAGATATTGTCTGCTTGGAATAATTACGTATTGTCGTCAAAACGTGTCAGGTAGGGAAAGGTTTCCACACCTTTATAAAAAATGCTTTGTTCTCCCCTCCAATAGATGTGGGATCTCACAATCCACCCCATTGGGGGCCAGTGTCCTCGCTAGCACACGGCTCAGTGTCTGTCTTTGATACCATTTGTAACGGCCCAAGCCCACCGCTAGTAGATATTGTCTGTTTTGGCCCGTTACGTATCATCGTCGGTCTCACGGTTTTAAAACGCGTCTGTTAATGAGTGATTTCCATACCCTTATAAGGAATGTTTCGTTCTCCTCTCTAATCGACGTGGGATCTTACAATTTGAATCTGGGTTTAGCACTTGATAACCCCGACATTGTTCTCCATCCCTTACGATATGACCATATTACTTACTCTTTCGCTTCTAAGAGTGAAGTCTATCTCTACAAACAAACACGAGTCCTTTCAGCATACTTTATCCTCACTCAGGAAAATTCTCAAGAAGTCGTCCAACATAGAATTGCTCCAACGAAAACACGCTTAAACCTGGAGATCCTATGACTGAACCACCGAGAAAGAATGTGTTCCTTGTAGATATACGTAGTAAATTTCAATTTTGTAAAGGTTTTATTACCTGTTATATTATATCTTCAAGATCGCTCTCATTTAAAAGTTTGGTGAGTGAAAATTATAAGGTTTTTGTGATGGCATTGCATTGCATGTTCCCCACAAAATGTTTGGTGTCAGGCAGAGTATGATGGCTTTTCCTAACATGGAAACACATTATTTGTTGAGTTCAAAACCAAAGAAAGAAAGAACACACTACACTACACTTCTCCTCTCTCTCTCTCTCTCTCTCTCTCTCTCTATCTAATTTCACCCAAAAAATGCCATAAAATGTTGGGTTCTTAGCTTTGGAAAATGAGGCCACAAGAAAACAAAGGCCTTTCAAATAAGAAACTGATCATCCTTTTGGGGTTCTGGTTTCTGCAATATGCGACTGTTTTGGTGAAAGATAAGGGCATGGGATAAAGTTACCCCTCCCTAGTCGGCGCACATCACTTTCCTCTCCCTAAGTTCCATCTCTTTTTTCTTTGCCTAAACAAAAAACAACTCGACTCACTCTTATTCGTAAGACTATCGTGAAGTAGAAATTCATTTGAATGTCGAACCAGAATTAGAACCTGAAACAAGTATGATTGTCCGTCTTAGTCCATTACATATTGTCGTCAGCGTCACGATTTTCAAACGAGTCTGCATGTTTTGTTCTCCCCTCCAACTAATATGGATTTCACAATCCACCCAGCGTCCTTGTTGGCACACCGCCCAATGTGTTGATGTAACTATTCAAGTCCACCACGAGCAGATATTGACCACCTTAACCCGTTATTTTATATCACTGTCAGCTAGATGCATTTTTAAAACGTGAGACTGACGATAATACATAATAGTTCAAAGAGGATAATATTTGGTAGCATTGTTCTCATTTTATATTGTCACACTTGTTTTACGTCTCAAATTCTATTAATAATGAACTTTCATTCTAATAATAATTTTGATAGATCCATAAATATTACGGTAACTTTACCGTTCAAGAGCTAAATTATTATTAACATTTAAGAGTATGAAAACAAAATCGTTAAATCCAAATACTTTCAATTTTGTTATAATTTTTGTCCCTACGGTGACAAATCTCATCAAAATTTATATCAATTTTTGTTATCTAACGGCTTAGTTTTTATAATTTATAAACAAAATTGACTCACTAATCCGTTTGCAATATTTCAAGTCTCCCCACATAAAATTTTGAGTTGTAACTAATATCATCTATTGATATGTATTTCCTATTTATATACTCATAATCGTTCTCCACTTTTAGTCAATAAGTATGAACGGATCTTTTTTTTTTTTGTTCGGGTGTTTGATAATTCTACTTTTGATGCATGGGCATGCATTAAGATTGATTTGACGTCAATGCCTAAGAAGGCTAAATGTGGAGAAGCAAAGGTGAAGTGAATAGATCATGGATGTTGAGGAAAGATTCTTTCAAGTATAGAATTGAGGGGATATGGTTTGGTTTTGATTTTGATTGCATTCAACTAACATTTTCTTGAGTTTTGTTTTCGAATATTAATGTACTACAAAAGAAAATTTGGATCCCGTAACTTTTAGATTTGTGTTTATCTGGTCTTTGAACTTTTAATTTTATAATTAATAGTTCTTGACATGTAAGATATTTTAAAAAAATTAATTGACCCGTTAAATATACATTTGAATGTTGTATCTAATGAAATAATGAAACGGTAAACTTTCCATTTTGTGTTTAATAGATTAGTGAATTTTAAAAAATGCTTCCTTTCCCACGTCAATAATCTCACATATCTCACAATCCACCCTCAGACACCTAGCAGATATAAAAACAAATGTTTCCTTCTTCTCTTGCAACCAATATGGGATCTCACGATCCACCCTCTTAGTAAGAGGCCAGTAGATATAAAGGAAGGTTTTGTTCTCCTCTACAACCAATATGGGATCTTGCTGGCATACTACTCGAAGTCTGACTCTGATACTACTTGTAACAATTCAATCTCACCGCTAACGGATATTTCTGTTTTAGCCCGTTACGTATCACTATCAAGCTCACGATTTTAAAAAACGTCTATTTAGGAGAGGTTTTCTCACCCTTATAAGAAATATTTTGTTCCTAGTTAACAAACGTGGATCTCACATAAATTTAAAAGCTTAAAAACTTATTAAACACATCCTAACGGTTCAAAAGTATATTTGATATAAAGTTTAAAGTTCAAAGACTTTTTATATATTTTTGAAAGTTGGTGGATCAAATAAACATATATGGAAAAAGTTAAGGGAGTAAACTTGTAATTTACCTCGAGATTAAGTAGAAGAGCGTAAAATAAAGGTTGTAAATTAGAAACTCTCAATGAAC